GACTTATTCCATCTGCTTGACCAACTATCCTTCCTCTAACAAAACCTGACAATTCGAGAGAACCTTGAGTTCTAGGCATGTTGTAGCACAAGATAATTAGTGTGGGGACCATTTTCATTTATATAGTGCTCTGTGAAGACAAATTACTTAACATAAATCAGCTAAATGACGAAAAATTAGGTGTCTATTTACTTGTGACCACTCAGTGTATATGTTAACTACAGATGCGCTTGTCTACAAAAATAATTTTAATTTTAGATTGCCTCTCACATTTAAGACTTTGGTTGACCATGTAACATGATCTTCTCTCCTACTTTGAGTCACCAGATTTCTGTTTTATTTTAATTTACTGTAATTTTTATTTTTCTACAAGGTACATATATTATTCACAAATATAAATAAGGTGGTGTGAGCCTTCAGCTACAACATTTATTATTGAGTTGGCCATTGCATTAATTATTTAAAAATTCCGAATACTAGAAAATCTAAGAAGAGTAGAGAATTAACATTTTCTATTTAATACATATTATAAAACACTTTCAATTTTATCTACCGCTGGATTTCATCTCATTATCGTACATTTTTTCTGTCTTGTATTCGTTTCTTTCTTCGTATTCATTGTTATAATGTTTATATGTTTTGTCTCCCTTTGGCATTGTATTGTATTGCATTTCTTTGTGTTTTATTTCTTGATTGTTATTATTTTTGCGATATTACAAAAAAAAAGTTTTCAGACTGTCCCTGTTTAAATTTCTGATTTCTATTGGACTATTTCTACCCTTAACTTGTGCCCATCCATTACCCCTTAATTCATTTCACTTTGCTCTAATTTTCTTCTGTGTAGTGAATGAGTTATTATAGGATGTATTGTTTGAAATTTGAAGGTAATGTTACGACAGCGGTAGTCACGTGACTCTGGTAACACGTCATGATATTCTCGAAGGATTGGGGAACATCACGAATAATCCAGTATTTGCTAGGCACCCTCTATTCTTGTATATAAGTGCGCCAGTTAAAGCGAAATTAATTAATCGGAATTGAATTGCAGACAGACAGAGATAGAGACGGACAATTGAGTCAAGCGCGGTAGTGATCGTAAGTAAGTGTGTGAATCATTGTGAATTATAGCGTGTGTTTAAAGTGACTGTGGAAATTAAGTGTATTGCAAAGTTGTATCCAGGGGAAAATAAACTTGTTTTATTTAAGAAAGGACCTGTATCGCTAAAGTTTCTTCGGAAAGACTTTTTACGGAAAATTAACAAACGACCAGAGACGTAACAGTAACATATTTCACTTTATATAAAAAACACATTGTTTCGGCCCGGCATGGCCAGGTGGTTAGGGCGCTCGACTCGCAATCTTAGAATCGCGGGTCCGAATCCCTGTCCCACCAAACATGCTCGCCCTTTCAGCCGTGGGGGCGTTATAATGTGACGGTCAATCCCACTATTCGTTGGTAAAAGAGTAGCCCAAGAGTTGGCAGTGGGTGGTGATGACTAGCTGCCTTCCCTCTAGTCTTACACTGCTAAATTAGGGACGGCTAGCGCAGATAGCCCTCGTGTAGCTTTGCGCGAAATTCAAAACAAACAAACAAACAAAGCATTAACAAACAATAATTTCTCCACTTAGATCTTTTTTCTTTAAATTAACAAACACAATAATTGGCTTTTTTTTTGTTCCGTGCATGTTAAATAACAAATAATTATCTATTTCATACAAAATATGTGTTCTCATTTAAATAGAACACAGCATTATTTTATTATATTCAAGATGCATTTTTCAAATGAGCCTACAAGATTGATTGAATCCTGTACAGGATCACGAGAAGACATATATTTTAAGACGTACTGAATTTTATTCAGTCATTACTATTTACCGAACTCTAATCAACATCCTGTACAAGATCCTGGTATGATTATATAGGATCTTA